TGCACCAAAGGCAATTGGAAATCAATGCCTTTTCTTTCTTTTTCCCTTCTTTTCCATACTTTCCCCTTCCCTTTTCTCTCCCCTATTTGTCCTATTATTTGTTTTTGCATTTTATATTATATTATAAACTAATAAAAAGGAGAGGTCGATAACAATAATAAAGAGAAAGCCCTGAAGGAAATGATTTATCTGCAAATCTTGCAGTTGGCTTTGACACCTGAGTAGGGAACTGAAACATTATTGATTGAACTTGTGGATAACCTCTGGTGAAGGTAAATGCTTCCATACTTGGTCTCCATCTCTCAGTGGCTTTCAATATTCTTCTTAGCAAGCCTAAAGAATAGAGAGAAAGAGGCAGTGTTGCAATGATTCTCCTTCTTCCAAAGTTGCTAGTAAAGGAGAGATCTGACCCCAGATTCCTCTTTTGTGGGAACCCTCAAGATTCTGTCCTCTCCCCATTCCTGTTTAACCTCAACACAGAGTTGATGGATGAGATCATCTGCCAGGATAGGGTTAGGTATCATCAGTATGTATGAATTCATCACAGGCAGAATTGGGAGATACTTTGTCATCTCCTGAATGAATTGCTTCAATATACTCAGTATACAGCTGCTCTTGAAGGCCAGTCAAAAGTTTCTACTGGTTCAGAATGCAGTGGCATGGAAAATTATGGGAGAAGGAGTTCCCATTAGGCTTCCAGTTGCAATTCAAAGTACTGATTATCAGCTACAAAGCCATTCATGGCATGAAGCCAGGTTATTTGCAAGACCGTCCTTCTCCACTTGTTTTTGCTTGACCAGTAGATTTGGCAGGTTGGAGCATGCTCTGGATGTCATCTATTAAACAGTGCCATATGGCAGAATCTTGGAAGTGAGCTTTTTCTTTCACAGTTCCTGCTGGTTATTGGTAGATGATAACAATGAGGTTTGTTTGGCACTGACCCTGTTTGTATTTTATAAATCCTTGAAGACCTGGATGTTCTCCCAGGCATGAGGCCTATAGATTGGTTGAGCCCATTGTTGTGCTTGTCTTTGGCATCACTGTAGTTATGTTCTTTTGTTGATTGTTCTTGAGTGCTGCTGTGTTATTACTGTATCATATTATTATTCATTATTTTAGGTTACAGTTTTGATTCCTATGTTCATTGACCAGAGTCATGATTCCAAGGTAGGCAGCTCTATAAATCGGAAGAATAAATAATCCTTTGCCAGTGCAATTTGATCACACTACCAATTTCCCTATTTTTAATCTCCCTGACACTGTTGAATATACACAACAATTAATGGACCAAAATAGGACCAGGAAATGGCAAAAGGGGAAGAGAGATGGTTCAGAGGGAGAAAAAATACAAAAAATGTTTACAATTATTTATATGATCATACTTATAGGTAAAGGAAGCAGGATAGAAATCCAGTAACAAAAAGTGACTAAAATTTTAAAATACGTAAACAGAGTTAAAGACTGAAATGCTGTAAAAAGAAAGAAGGGATGAGATGAAAAGAAAAGTAATGGAATGGAAAATTCAGTTAACATTGGAGATTCAAGAAAGAATGGGAATGCAGATAATTAAAAACTCAATCTCAGAATCACAGAAAATTCTGCAACACCTACAAACATACAAAAGTGTGATTATAATGATAGTCAATAATTCAATCTTTGTCTTCACCCATCAAAGATCACTCAGATTTGGAAGTACTGATTTTAATAATCCCCATTTTAAAATATATATCTTTCTATTTCTTCCAGTAAACCAAACCCCTATACCAGTGTTTTTCAACCTTTTTTGTGCAAAGGCACACTTTTTTCATGAAAAAAATCACGAGGCACACCACCATTAGAAAATGTTAAAAAATTTTAACTCTGTGCCTATATTGACTATATAAAGTAATTCTCCCACGGCACACCTTACACTATGTCACGGCACACTAGTGTGCCGCGGCACAGTGGTTGAAAAACACTGCCCTATACTACTTATACAAATAGAGCTTATGTGAATTCTAAATCAGTGACAAATTGAGTTATCCCAACTCAGCTCATTTACAAAACAATGTTCATTTTCTTAATCAATTGTACTAAAACACTAACTATAATACTAAAAAGTGCAGAAGAGGAAAGTTTCAGGCATTGGAAAAGGCACGGTAAGACATGCAAGGCAGATCTCTGTAAACAAATTATTTCATTCACAATTAAGAGAGCATCTCCATTTGTCCAATTTATCTGATGGAGCCACTCGTAAGCGGGCGTCCCAAAAATGTCTAAATATTGTTATTAGTCTCTGAAAATTGGTACTGAAATTAAGATAAAACATGCTACAGTTCTTACAAACAACATTGTTTTTACAATCTCCACATTTTTCGTATTTCTTGTTCTGATGTTCTTTAGAAAAATTATTGCTACTATATAAACCTAGTCACCTAATGATCTTATCTCTCATCAAATAATTCAACAAAAACATACTTTATAATGCTATATTGTATGATGAACCTATAATAAACTATATCACACTCCTTTGAGCAATATGCTATTCTCAAAAATCTTTTAGGGTGTAAGCACTTTAATATGCTTTTATCATATTAGTCCCAAATTGAAAGCATCCAAGTGTTCTTACTGCCTCATCTATTTCATATTGTTGATAATTTTTGGTTTTATTAATCTTCCCTAAGCAAAAGATTGCAGATTTCTTGTTATATATATATCTCAAACCACATAGACACCCCCCCCCCTCAAAAGCCATGCAAATAATATTTTACAAGATGAGAAAGTGTGACAAATAGTCAAATTTTAAGCTGGTGTAAAAAAATCCCACCATCCATAGAACTGCATTCCATAAATAAGGTGCTATAGGTAAGAAGGTCCTTTCCCATATTTATACCACATAGGATATTTTGGTGCTATGGAGAGAGGTGATGTTTTCTTTGTAGCGTGGAAGTGCTGCTTTATTTCTGTGTTTTTATTGGCTGCTTTTGCGAGACAGTAAGATAATTGTGTATAAAATTAGTGGCTATACAGTAAAAGTTCAATAAATAAGTAAATAAAACATACAACCTTGCCTAAATCACATTCTAAAATCCTTGGGTCCTAAACAATTTGGGTCTGAAATATCATTATATCACTTTGAAGGTGGATTGAGAGTACACTATAAATCAGTGCAGTAAATAAGTATTTAGAGCAATAGCTTATTAAGTTATTTCAGATTGGCTAAAGTAAATCTAAAATAGAATCTGCACGAAGAAACTTCTTGGGCTTGCTCTTTCTTGCAAGAGCTGCTATTGAGGATCATCAGATTGTCTAGAATGGACTAGGAGAAGGTATAGGAGAAGGCAACCAAATGGGGAAATCTGATGCATTTGGTAAGGAATGGCTGCAAAAGCAGAAATACTTTCCCACTTTTTACAAGTATCCCTGAATTGAAGCAACCATCAATATTCTTAGGTGAACAAAGTATAATTTTTAGAACTGTTACAATCTACCACCTTACCATTATCTTTGATTCACACTTATTTTTCTTTTACTAAATTCATTAGTAAAAAAGCAGTCGATGAATTCATGTGCCTTTTCAAATTCTGACAAGTCACATCATACTCATGAATCTGTACAGTAAGATTTTCCTCCCAATAAATATATTCCTTTATTATACTTTGATTCTTAATTAACCTGAGTCACTACTGATCAAAGAAGGCTTTATAGAACATTTCGTTTAAGACTTGTGTATGCTACTTGTATTTAATATTCAGCAATCCTGAGCCTTCAGCACATAATACTTTTGATCTATGCCAAGCCATCCTGGAGCTACTTCACACTTCACTGTAGCTCCATAGATTTGTACTTATTTAATGTGCATTTAGTAGGCACGCTATATACATAAAGTGTAAATCTGCTTTTGTCTACTTTTTTAATTATTGAACATTTATAATTTCAATTCATTTTCCCCAAAACTATAAATGTGCTTTTCATTATTACTGCTAAGTTTCTGCCTTCAGTTTCCAGTCTGTGATATAATGAATGAATATTTGTTTATTTAAATTTTATTAACTAAGTTGCAATTAAATTGAGACAACATAGTATGGTAAACTATAAACTATGGTTTATCACAGTAGTTAGGTTCACACTACATAATACACTAAAACCAAACAAGTCTTGCTACAGCATAGGATGATGTATGAACTCAGTAAATATACAGTAATTGCTATTATTAACTTTTCAGAAGTTTTAGAAGACTCTATAACAGTGCAAGGTAAAAACCAGAAAGCCACATAAAAGTATTTAGTAGCCTCAAATTTGTCAAACTAATTGTTCTTTGATCATATAAAAGTGAAATTTTTTGACCATGCATAATAATGTCCTAAAACTAGGTGACCTCTTCTTTGCGCATTAAGACCAAATGCAACTCAGAAAAGGTTTCAGGTATCTCTAATATGCAATACCACTAATGGTATGGCACTAGTATATATTTCTCTAAGATCATTCTGATTACATTTTTATTATGGACATCACATCTTTGAGTTGCACATGGTGTAATTATACTGAATGTATTCATAGAACAAAAGTCAGCCATACTAGACAAACAAAGTATTACAATATGTTAAATTACTGAATGTGTCTTTTTGAATCTTTCAGCCATAAGCACTTCTAGAATCCAGGTCACATGTAATTTTTCATTTTTTAACATATGTAATTCTCTAAATTCTTGTATTCTATTAATCCCATGAAGAGAAAGTGCTATTTTAAGCACATAAAGAATGTAATTTGCTGTTATTGTACATAAGCAGGACCACCTGCAAAATGTTGCTATTTAAGATTGTTCCTGTTCAACATATCAGCTTGGTCTTTCCTCTTCTATGATTCCTCCATTCAAATTCCCTTCACTTATCTTTTTTGGAGAGGTATCAACTACCCACCCATCCCAATCCTATTTTTATCCAGTTGTAGTAAATGTTATTGCACAATGTCAATGTAGGACTGCTATTATCAATAAATATATTTCATATTCAAATACTTACCGGAAAGGACCCATTCTATTAGCTGAATGAGGATGTCCCCACATTTTGTTCCAACAGACACCAGATAGCAAATTCTGAAGAATCTATGGAATAGAAGAGTAACAAGAACAAAATGTAATAATCCTAAGTAAGCTATATAAATCAGCAAGCATGGCCTGAACAAAATAAAACAAATGATTGATTTAATTGTTAATTTTAATCTAATTTTTAAAATGTTATTGTTAATATTAATTGGGTTTGTTTTTGGATACTCTTATCTAATTTCCTTTTTAACTTTTGTAATATGTGTTTTTTTAATGTTGTACGCTGCCCTGAGTCCTTTGGGAGAAGGGCAGCATATAAATCCAATAGACAAACAAACAAACAAGCATGCTAGCTGATCAATCTATTTAAAATCTTTCATATTTTCTTGAAACACTCAGCTAAAAGTAATTCTGAGAGTTTATTTCAAATAAGATAAACTCAGAGTTTCTAGGGTTCCATCTTCACCACTACCTACTTTGGAAAGTGACCAGAGAAATTTCTGAATTGATTCCAAAGAATTCTTATGTACCAGTTACATTATGTTTTACATTACTCAGAATGCTGTAATTAAAACATATAAAAGTCTTTGGTACTCTCTGAGAATGATTGTTTGCTTGCAGACATTTTATTACCTGACTAGGTAATATCATCAGTGCTTGTGATTGTGGGATTTTTGTCTTTATATATAGTAGAAGGGGATAGTGTTCCCCTTGGTAGATCCTTGATTAGGATATTAATTTCTGCTTGTTCGGTGTTAATCTCTGCTTATCTGATTGTAGGCTGCTGGAGAGGATAGGTCTTTTTGTTGCTTCTTTTTTATTGTTTCCTTTCAATGGTGTGTAATTGTGGTTTATATCTATTTATTTGTATATTAACAGATATAATCTAGAAAACAAACCAGCATATTTCTCACACAACTACCATCTTTTGGGCTTCTTCCAGTGTTTATATCAGCCTCTCGGATTTAGTGGTTTTCAGATACATTGGCTTATACCCTTAATTATCACCAAATCAAACTGAAGTCCAGTATATATCAAACAGCTTTTATATCCAGTAAATGCAAGTGTTGTAAACATTTCTTTCCCTCCAATTTTTGCTTCTTCACAAAAGAAAACTAGTTTGCCATTTTTTCAAACAATTAACCTTCCATTTAATTACATTGTGTTGTATAATAGAAACCTCTATTTAGGACAAGTCTCAAATTGCTTTTTATGGGAGGATTCACAGAAAATTTCTTTCTTACATATAGTAATGAAAACCTAGAAACCAGACATTAGAAATATCAACAGAGAGAAACAAATAGTTCTTTCAATTTATGTACATTCTATCTTGCCCATAAGATCACATTCTAACCAAGGGGGAAAAAATCCTTAAGCAGTAAGACTACACAGTAGAACACAGAACACTTAGTACACTACTAAGTAGAATTCAAATAAACACTATTTCTTTTCACAAAATGCATTCTCCTTTTAACACAAAGTACACAGTTTCCTAGAAGAATCCAAAATCTCCTTGTTCAGCATAGCAAAAGTGAACTGGAATACAGAGCACAAGAACCAGAGCAAGGGAAAAATAATCAGAGTCTAAGTAACAATGAGAAAATTATTTCAGAGATTCAAAAACATTACATTAGGTAGACCCAGATTTTTTTTCTCATCAGCTCATTACTATTAACTGAAATAAACACATTTAATTTTGATTTTAGTCTTCCTTAACAAAAGCTAAGAAAATTAACATTGATACCTTGAATAGAACCTCACCTTAAAGAAAAACACTCCAAAAACAGCTAGCTATTCGGGCTGTCTCAGTCAGATAAACAATGTTTACATATTTGTGGACATAATGTTCCTAAAGTTGAGAAATGTTTTCCTCCCCCCCCCCCTGCCAAAAGCATATATAGCTATTGAAAAATATATTTGATGACACCAAACAGATATTTCCATATCCATATTCTAAAGATGGGCAATCAGATCTTGAGGCCCCAAGGGCACAAATGGGTCTATAAACACCTACCAAATATTTTTAGCGTTGTGAAATGGAAACTTTCCTTAAGAAAATTAGGCTTGTTTGCATGAAGAAATTTTCCTGCTTGATAACATGTTTTCTGGGAAAACAAACAAAATTGATTTTTTTAAAATAAGTTTATTTTTTTAAGAAAACATTGTTTCCTCAGAAAATATTATATTTTGAAATTCTATCATATCACTATAGGTAATTTTATTTAGCAACCCAATTGAAGGAAGCAACCTGTCTAAGTGAAAGGCCGATAATGCTTATGATCATATTTCAGTTTTCCTTTGAATTATGCAAAAATCATAAATGAGGATTGATAGTTAAGTTACATTTTATCATCACTGTAATTTCAAACATTTACTAAATGAGGTAGTTGCTAAACAAGGACTATTGTATCATTGTCTTTCTTTTTTTTTAAAGGAACAGGGTTGCTTTTAGTATCATTTTTATTATCAAAATGTCTTTGAACCCTTATAATCACAATATTCATTTTAGAAAATGAAAATAGTGGGAGACTGCAGCTCAGTATTTTGTTTAGAAATCTAGCAAGGTGGTAGGAAGCATACTGAAAGACAGGGAGAGGGGAGTTACCCCATCGCTTAATCTTTTAGTAAGCAGGTGCTTTGTGAATCTCACTAGAGCAATCATTTATGATTAGACACTCCCCCATCCAAACTATCTGATAGACATCCACAACAAGCTCAAGATTCTAATGTGTTTAGCAAGAAAAACAAATTTGTAGCGTTGCTACAAATTCCAAGCTTACTTCTAAAATCTCTTCAGCAACTTCAGTTGATTCAGCTCCTGGGAGTATATTTTGTTTATTTTTCTTCCATTGACTTCCAATTTGTTTTTAAACTCAATTCAAAATATTAACTTTAAAGGTCTTTATATTTTAAACCCAAGATCTTCTAAAAGTTCAGCAGCTTCCATTAGAGCCATTTAGTTCCCAACATACAAAGGATTCCCTCCCTTATCACTAACTGATGCACAAAACATATAGGATAAGATCTCTTCCGCATTGTTGTCTAGATTCTGAAGCAATTTTTCCCTAGAAGCATCGCTGCTTTCAATGTTCAACAAACCTGTGAAAACTATCTTTTTTAATTCATGTTTAACAATATCGATTTTTTAAAAAATGTTAACCAATTAAAGCTTTATTTGTACGGAAACAAATATACAAAACCTTGTAATTTTTGCACCATATAAATGTATTTGAGGACATGCCTTACTAGCAATTATTCAATTTTTTACCAATTATATTTAAAACTAATGCAAACAATTTATGTTGGACAAGTATTTTAATAACCAAATTTAAGTATGTGTTAGTGATACTATTTTAATTTGCTTTGGTTATATTTATTCAATTTGTACCTGAAATATAAGCATTCTAATTCTCGTTAATACAAACACACTGGCATACATTTGCATAACACTTAATTTTTCAAAGAAAAAGTACATGCAACAGTTGCCATTTTGGAAAGGAATTCTATCTGTACAACAAAGTGGAAAGCGGCTGACAAATAACTATTTTAATGGACGATATGAACAGAACAGATCTGCCTGCATAACCTCACTAGAGAAGAGTCTAAAGAAGCCCAGTTAAATATAAGAGCTCTGTTGTACGAAGAGGCTCAATAGCAGCGATTTTCCTACAGGAGAAAAACCGTTTCCGCTTTCTGTACCATTACCTCAAATTACTGACTGCTCCTATTCAAACTGCAATGCTCCTCAACCGCAGGAGGACTAACCTAGCCTAAAACACAGATCAGAGGTGTAACATCTGGGCCCTGTAATAGCAGCAGCGGTTCTCTAGGTAATCAGGGAAAGACCTCTGCCGACGCTGTTAACCGAAAAGAGAGAGGCTTTCAAGATGCGCTCTTGTCGATTCCAACCCCTCAGGTAACCGCGAGAGACACGGTTCGTTTTCAAGAAGCGACACCCTCTCTTGCCAAACTATTTTTTTCTAGGCCCTTTATCCAATTCACCTTCGGAAAACAAAGCAAAACCGCCACCCGCCTCTCTATTTGCTCCGAGGCGCGGCCCTGTCAGTGCCGAGCGCGTTTCCCGCGTATCGCATCTCCCAGGCCAATCCTCCCCCACCCCCCACAATTCCCCCGCCGACGCCCCTCCCCACCTCCAGAGCGGGCGACGCTCCGACGCAGGCGATGAGCAACGGCTAAGGACGTCGCCGCCTGGCTTCTCCTGCACTTCCCCCCACCTCCACCCGCGCGCGCGGGGATCCCGAGGAGGAATAAATGCCCACCAGGCTGACTCAATCCACCGCCACCCTCGGGGCCTTCAGCAGAGCCGCAGCAGAGCCGCAGCGCCGAGCGAGACGGAACCGGAAGTTCCGGAACATCCAGCCACGTGACGCACGGCGCTTACGTCTTGCGGGCGCGGCTTGGGTTGCGCCTGAGAGATCCGCGTAAAATTAAGGCGGGCTACGGTGATTACCTAAGGAGACGCGTTTGGGTCGCCCATGAGGGTGTTTTGTGTTAAGTGTTTTCCTTCTGCCTTTTAAATCGACTCCTAATGTAATTTGGCATTACATTATGCGTGGAGTGACATCAAAGATCTAGTAATTATATCGGGAATAATTTGAGAATAGGAAACTACAGTAATCGCCTCTCTTAATCTGATGTACTGAACTTCGACTAATATTTGCAAAAGATCCCATCCCTGAATATATAATTTATCCACGCCTACCATTACAAACATTATGAATATTAAATATTCATAAGGATATTTATTATTAATATTAAAAATATTAAAGTGCACCAGCGTGCCTACCGTCCCTGTCCTAATATTCCCTTGTATTCGTATTCATTTCATGTATTCATAATCATGTTTATAATTATATCTTATCTAATTCATGCTTGATGAAATAAATATAAATTGTGGGCTGCATTGTATTAAAACATAAAATCCTGAGAACAAAATGGCATCAGGAATTATATCTTTAGTATGTCTAGGGTGTCTCATACTATTATGAAGTGAAGATTCATCAAGATTCATCACTATCTCCAAACTTAAGCTAGACTCCACTGTTGGTTGGAGTGGATGGTTCAGTGTCTTGCATTAACTCAGATAGCATTGTCAGTCCCGGGTATTGGTATGTCATTAAAATATTTCATTTTAAAATTGCTTGAGAAAAAGTATAGTATAACAAGAAAAACAACCGCAATTCTACCTTCTAGGACAAGAGTACCAATACTTTGGGTCCCAAAGTATAACAGAAACCATCACATTTCCGCCGCACCTTGTTTTTTTAAATATCTCTTACAATAATCATATTTGCAATTTGTTTGGTTTTTATTTAGCATGTTATGCACATTTAACTATGTTGTTATTCTAATGGGCACGTGTAAACCCAGTCACTGTGCCTTTTTCAACAAACCATTTAAATATGTCTTATTTTATAACTAGTAGTGTTTTTTATATTTAATTTGTTTTTAAAATGGTTTTGCATCCTTTTTTAAAAACTTTGATTAGGAGGCACCCAAATTGTCTGAAAGATAAATTAACCATAAATGTTTTAAATGAAATAAATAAATAAATATTGCAATCACTGTGTGTGAGCATTCCTAAGGACAGAAATATAATTTAAGCAATGTTTACTGAAATAGGTTATTTTGTAATTAAAACAAAATTTAGATTTACTTAAGGGCAACACGTCATAAGGATAGGCTAAGGCTATCATATCTTACTAGAATATGGAATAACAGAGTTGGAAGGGACCTTGGAGGTCTTCTAGTCCAACCCCATACCAAAGCAGGGGGCGTTACACCATTCCTGACAAATAGCTGTCTAAACTCTTCTTAAAAACTTGCAGTTATGGAAACCTACAGTGTCTAAAGGCAAGCAATTCCAAGGGTTAATTATTCTCACTGTCAGGAAATTTATCCTTAGTTCTGCGTTGCAGTTCTCTTTGATAAGTTTCCATCGATTACATCTTATTCTGCACTCAGGTGCTTTGGAGAATAGGTTGCCCCCCCCCCACCTCTATTTGTGACAGCCTTGTATATTGGAGGACTGCTATTATGTATCCCCTCCAGTCCTTTTCTTTGTTGGATTAGACATACCCAGTTCTGCAACCATTTAATCAAATATTTTCGTCTCAGACCCATAATCATCTTTGTTGCTCTTCTCTACACTCTATTTAGTCTCAACATATATTTTTTTTGTATCATGGTGGCCAAAACTGAACATAGTATCCCAAGTGTGGGCTTACCAAAGCAGTGTATAGCAGTACTAATACTTCATGTGATCTTGATATTATTTCTCTGTTGAATCAGCCTGGGACTGCATTGGGTTTTTTGGCAGCTGCAGCACAGTGCTGGCTCATGCTTAAAAAGTTGCCCACTAGGACTCCTAGATTCCTCTCACAATTACCACTATCAGCCAGGTGCCACCTATTCTATACCTGTAGATTTGATTTTTCTTGCCTAAATCTAAATGTAAAACCTTTCCTTTCTCATCACTGAATTGCATTTTGTTGAATAGGACCCAATGTTCAAATCTGTCAAGAACTTTCTGAATCTTGAGCCTATCTTCTAAAGAGTTAGCTATTCCCCCTAGCTTGGTGCCATCTGCAAATTTGATGAATTCCTTCTATCCATCACCTAAATTGTTTATGAAGATATTGAGGCGTACAGGGCCTAAGGCAGAGCCTTGGAGTACCCCACTGCATACTTGTCTCTATATAGATGTAGTTCCATTAAGACTACATATTGACTGCAGTTTGTCAGCCAGTTACAAATCCATCTGATCATAATCCTGTCTATCCCACATTTTTCTATCTTACCAAGAAGTACCATATTTTTCAGAATATAAGACGTACCAGAGTATAAGACGCACCAAGGTTTTGAAGTGGCAATTTTTTTAAAAAAA